TGTGTGTGTGTTGGAGGGGTGGAGGGTGCTCCGATGTGGTGTGCACCTTCTTTCCTATCAAACACATAGATCTACTGTCTTTATCTCTCCTCCTTTTTTTGTATTTGTTACTCTCTAGTAACACCTTTAATTTTTGGCACTTACTTGACCTAATTATGTTGCAAGTGCCGTGAAACTCATACTAAAACAGCATTATATAAATGATAAGAAGAGGTAGATAAATGTACAGCTTTATGTTCAGTATGGGCAGTTTGTTATTTAGTTTACCTAAAACTAGCACTATTCTATTTCACCATAACAGCGCAATAACAACAGAATATTCTTTTTGGTTTTGCAATACACACAACATGAAATATTAATAAATAATATTAGGACTACGCCTGTACCTTTGTTGATGACATTCATGTCCCCAGATTGAAACTGACTGAAAACATCATAAAACAAAAATATTTTGTACAATTGTAGTCCCATCTCTCCTCCTCTCAAATAACTTCACCAGGGGAGTTAAACCGTATTTAACGTGTACAATGTCGTTACACATTTTCGACCAGATGGTACTTCAAGCGATGTAAAACTGTATCAGTTTACAGCCTTATACGGGGTGCCCATTTGAGGATCGGGTCGGGTCGGGTCGGGGCGGTAGTCTGCTTCGACTATCAAGGCACCCCGGAAATAGCGGGTCACAAGAGTATGACAAACAGACAAAAGAAGTAGAGGAAAATGACGATAGTAAGGATAAGGAAAGAAAAAGCAGCAGTTCCCTGCTGTAGTTCAGGTACAGTTATGAGCATGACATTGTTGGATCAGCATATTTACAATTCTACTGTGCATTAAAGCATCATCAGACAGGCTTTAACTTGGAACCCACAAGGAAAGCGTAAGAAGGGAAGACCAAAGATGACATGGAGGCGAGCGGTACAAGCGGAAATTGAAAAAGCGGGGACATCATGGAAACAGATAGAAAAGGATGCTCAGGACAGGCTTTGCTTGAGTAATGTTATTGATGGCCTGTGCTCCACTGGGAGTTAAAAAGGGCAAGAGAGAGACTGTGCATTAGAACAAGAAATGTCTCCCTTTGGGAATGTAAAGACACTTCAGTCAGTGGCACCGCCCCGGGGGGTAGGTGACAAGTCGGCGACCATCCCGACCCGACCCGATCCCACCCTCAATGGGCACCTTGTTTTTGTCTAATGCCCTAGGGCAGGGCTAGCTTGCCAACCTGGGCAACATCTTTTTTTTCGGTAAGTGTTTTACGGCGATCACAACTGCATAAGGTCATATGAGCGCGCGGGACACACTAAGCATTTTCATTTGGTAGGAAATTTAGAATTTTTCCCGGGGGGCGGCCGAAGCCTACTCTTATCGATTTTAGACCACCAATTGACCTTTTAAAGCGCGCAACTTGCACACTGGACCTCCGAGATTTTTCACCTTTGTCCGAGAAGGCTAGATATTATAGATCTTTCCTACCAGAAGATGAGGGGTGTGGCGGAAAGACAGCAGTAAGAAGGAGCCAACGAGAAGCAGTAGAAAGGCTGCAGAAAGAGTCAGGAGCCCAGAGGAGGGGGCAAAGAAGGTGAAGGGTTTAGAGCAGAAAGTGGAGACATTGATATAGAGCAGGAAAGGAGGTGAAACGAGACAATTTTAGAGAAGAAAATGTTTCGGTCGCTACCCGGATCCGAACCCGGGACCTTTGAATGAGAGGCAAACACCTTGACCTCTGGGCCACGAGAGCCCCCTGGCGATATCTTTCACTCGTGGGCAATGTGGTAATTTTGACAGGCAGTGGGGACCATTCTGGTCATTGACACTGGTAGTGACAGCTATTATTAGGAGGCGTGCTGACAAAACGAGTTCCTTCTCGCATGTCCACGACATGGAGACTCGGGCTAAAATAGACATATCAATCAAATTTGTCCATTTTTCAAACGATATCAGTTTCTTCAAGTTAAACATGTTTCGTTTTTTAAAATCATTTCGTGTAACAATTTGTACAAACCAAACCTATAAAATTGACGTATACGTCTTTGTCCATTAGGCTAAAATCCGAGAATTAACTCATTTTTGTCAGTACGACTCTTAATTAATGCTCCGTATGGAAATGCATGTAGTCGGGCCGTACAAAAATTTTAGACTTTTAAAAGGGACAAAAGTAGATGCCGGCTATAGCAAAAATTGACCAGAACTGCAGCTCAAATGACAGACCAGGGAGTAGATCAGTACATGGATACATTTAGAAATCCTCTGTCTGTAGGTAATCAACAACCATAACGAGCCCCCTTTCCCCTCCCTCACTCCTCGTTTGTTTTGTTAGGATGTTTCATTTTCCTTCTTTCAGTTGACTATGAGCTGTTGCCTTTTTTTAAGACAGATAAGTCCTTTTTTTCTCTTCTTTTAATGTCTATGCCTTGGGTGTTTGGGAGGGGGGTGGGTAGGTTTGCTTATTTTGTGGGGTAGATGCTTTCTGGATGTTTCTGTGGCAACAAAACATAATGCTTCATGCTTTTTGTATATATTCATGGCAACAGATGTGTGAGATTTAACCAAAAGAAACAACAACAGAACAAAACACATTTTCTTTAAGTGTCTATATCTTGTATATGTATTTTTACCCAGTGCAAAAAGAGGGGTGGGGTGGGGTGGGGATTATAGTTTTGGCTGTTTCGTGAGGCATATGCTTTCTGAATCGTTCCTTCGAAACAGATATATGCCATACAAACAAAAATCAGCAACAAAATAAACAGAATGATGTATTTACCAGGCCAACCAATGTCCTTATCAAAACGCATGCAACTGTATTAGTTAATAAGTTTGCGATATACGGACAACTCAAAAGCCACTGACAGTTCAGTAGCTGAATATAGATTCACATATATATGGGAGGTCTGGACTCGCACTCCACACTCCTTCCCACCCCCGGGGGGGGAGGGGGGCAGGGGTTGTGGTGTAGCGGTTAGGCGCTTCATTATCGTACGCAAAAGACCTGAGTTCGATTCCTAAGTAGGGATAATATTTATAGAGTATCTAGATCTTTCTGTTGCGGCGTTGATCCCTCTCCTCTCATGTTGTCTTGACAGACAAAGACTAAGCCGGCCTCCTAAAGGATCTTAATTGTGTCGATGGGGACATAAATCCAAAAACATTTAGATTTGATTATTCTTCTCCTTTGTCTTATTTATATAAAACAATTCTGCAAAATGCTTCGTCTTAGAAAAGGTCTATCTGTGTTTAGGTTAGGCACTAAACGCATACCTTCACCCTAGAAAGACAAAACAAAACAAAAACCCTTCTCCCAACCAAGGATGCAAAAAAATAATAATTAAAAAGAACAACCAACCAACACCAACTCCCTCAAATGACAACAAAAAACTAAATCAAAACAACTTTCCAAACAGCAACAACAACAACAACAACAACAACAATGAATAAACAAAACAATAACATCAGCCTTTCTGCCATCTGCATCATGTCCTTTTCATTCAGGGTTAAAGAAGTTATTCTTTTGACAAACATTTTTCGTCTCAGATGAGAGATCAATTGTCATTTCTACACAACTCCCTTTTTTCGAACACTGTCTTAACAATTCAATCAATACTCGCTCGTCAATAATCTCTCTTTCTTTGATTAGGACAAGGCCAAGGTACAAAAACTTTTCGCACTAGCAAAAGAAACAAAAAAGATTAGAGAATTATTTTATTTTGTTTTGTTTCTGTTTTAATTAGAGGAAGGGAAAAGCATGTGTCAGTTAGTTAATTTTTTACTTACTTCTGAAGTAGTCCTTACTAAGCTAAGATAAGATAAGATAAGATTTCTTTGCGAAAGCAAGACACACATAAATCCTAAATTTTGCTACATCTGTTTGTTTGCGTAAAGAGGCGCACGGACATCTATGGTGTAGCTTTTGGGTGCTCCACAGTAGCATGCAGAAGACCCGAGTTCGTTTCCTATGTTAATGAAAAGGGGCGAGGGGGATTTATTGAGTATTTCGATCTTTCTACTGGAACGTTGAAACACGCGCACACACACACATTCACAAATACGCACACACACAAACACAAACACACACAGAGACGCACACACACA